TGCCAACAAACTTATGAAAAATGCTCAACATCAGGGAAATGTAAATTAAAACCATAATGATATACCACCTTACCCCTGTCAGAAGGGCCATTAATCAAAAGTCAAAGAACAACAGATGGTGGGGTGGATGAAGAAAGGAATGTTTATACACTGTTGGTGGGACCGCAAATTAGTACAATGTCTACTGAAAACAGTATGGATATTCCCCAAAGAAATAAATGTAGATTAACCAACTAATCCAGCAATCCCACTACCAAGTAACTACCTAAAGGAAAAGAAGTCATTTTATAAAAAAGATACCTGTACTCAAATGTTTATCACAGCACAATGCACAATTACAAAGATGTGGAATCAACCCAAGTGCCCATCAACTGATGAATAGTTGAAGAAAATGTGGGGTGTGTATGTATGTGTGAATATATGTATACACATACACACACACTCACACACACCATGGAGTACTACTCTGCCATAAAAAGGAATGAAAGAATGTCTTTTGCAGCAACTTGGATGGAACTGGAGACCATTATTCTAAGTGAAGTATCTCAGGAATGGAAAAATAAACACCACATATAGTCACTAAAAATTGAGAACTACATTAAGGGCACACATGGGTACAAAGAGATATAAAGAACATTGGAAATCAAGAAGCAGGGAGCAGGGAAGGGGGTAAGGGATAAAAACTTACCTGTTAGGTATAATGAACACTATTCCGGGCAGGCACACTGAAAGCCTCAACTCAAGCATTGTACAATGTATCCATGTAACAAAAACATTTGTACCCCTTTGATATTTTGAAATAAAGACACTCCCTTAAAAAATAAATAAAATAAAATTAGAGCTTCATTGAAATAATCAACTTCAACATCTCTCTTCAACCACTCATTTTAGAATATTACAGATATTTAGCATAGTTCACAAGGAAGGCTCCCTTCTTTTGTGTGTATGTATGTAGAAAAAAATTTATCCATTATAACACTTAAGACAATAGTGCCTCTGCTGGCATCAATTAAATAGATACCACTTAACTCCAGTGAGAATGGCCTTTATCCAAAAGTCCCAAAACAATAAATGTTGGCATGGATGTGGAGAGATAGGAACTCATATGCTGCTGGTGTGACTGCAAACTAGTACAACTTCTGTGGAAAGTAATATGGAGCCACCTCAAAGACCTAGAAGTAGAACTACCATTTGATCCAGTCATCCTATTACTGGGCATCTACCCAAAGGAAAAAAATACATTCTATAAAAAAATCAAATCTTTATAGCAGCACAGTTCACAATTGCAAAGATGTGGACACAACCCAAGTGTCCATCAACACGTGAGTGGATTGAGAACATGTGGTATATGTATACCATGGAGTTCTACTCAGCCACAAAAAACAATGGTGATCTAGCACCTCTTGTATTATCCTGGATAGAGCTAGAGCACATTCTACTAAGTATCCCAAGAATAGAAAAACAAGCACCACATGTACTCACCATCAAATTGATATTAACTGATCAACAATTATGTAAACATATAGTAATAATATTCATCAGGTGTTGGGCAGGTGGGAGTGGGGAGGAGGTGATGGGTATATTCACACCTAATGGGTGCGGTGTGTACCATCTGGGGGATGGACATGCTTGAAGCTCTGACTTGAGTGGGGCAAAGGCAATATATGTAACCTAACATTTGTACTCCCATAATATGCTGAAATAAAAAAAAATTTAAAAAGATCATTCAGCAAGGTTTCACAGGATGCTTATTATAAACCGAACATTGTGCTTCTGAAAACACACTTTTAAGAAATGTATAAATTTTACAGTATTGGAATTATTTAAAAGTTTCTTAATTTTTTAGCATGATAAATAACTGGACTTTGTTAACCCAGTGGTTAACTTTAGTGAATATCAGAATCACCTGGGAGTCTTATGAAAATATGGATTGCTGGGCCCAACTCCATAGTTTCATATTCCTAGATCTGAAATGGAGCCTGAGATTTTTCTAGAAAGTTCCTACGGACTGCTGATGCTTCTCGTCCAAGGAAGACACTTTGAGAATCACTGTGCTAACCCATATCCAGTTCCAATCACTTAGAACAGCTAAGATAGTATATATCTAATCTGCATTGGATGGGGGCAGTACTCCAGGAGATGCTACTGTTTTGGTACTGCTTTAATTTCTTCTTTATTAGAGCCAGGGAAAAGAGGGCCCAAGAAAGAATGTAAGATCTATTTTATTAATAGCCAATAACCCAAGATTTTCTGTTCAACTTGCTTAACCCAATCTTGTCCAATACAGGTAATCTCAACTGCAATGCAACATAAGTAGAAGACATAAAAACAAGATCAAAAAATGAAAGTAATTAGAAAATAACACAGCACACACACAACCAACCAGTGTCATCTATCAGATGTGCCCACAAATATTGGCAAGTTTCCACAGAAAGGTCAGCATACAGATTTCCACCTATCACTAGATAAAATTTGTGAATTATTGATAACAATTTCATAGCATTTTGAAGAACCCAGTGTACAGTTCCAGATTTTTAATATCTAAAAAGTGAGGTATTATATTTTGACTTATGTCTATATCAGAAATAACCATAATTTTGAACTTTATTTTTTACAGATGAAGGTGAGATGACATTGTGCTAACACAGATCAGTACTTTAGAAATGTAAGGAAATGATCCAGATTTCAAGGGAATTCAGCATATTCAGACTTCTCCAAGTTCCACCAAGCTCCCATTTTGTTCCATGGTACATGAGTGCTAAAATAACAAAAAACAAAAACAAAAAAAACCCACCACCACCAAATCAAGAGCTTTTTCTGTCATATTCTCCTTTCAAAATAAGTCTTTTCTTTAAATTTGTCAGAAAATATTCTGGCTATTAACAAATATCCATTAAATGCTTACTATGTGTCAGATAATCTTCTTAATATCATTATTTCCTTTAATCCTTTGTAATCAATTAAATCCCAATGGAAGGTATAATATTCAATTTACAAAAGAACTAAGGCTGAGAGTAGTTAAATTGCCCAAGATGAAACTAATAAGTGGTAGATCCAGTATTCAAAGTTGGACTTGTATGGCCATTATCAACTATTATCACACAGCCTCTCAACACATTTGGATTCCTACCAGTGAACAGTAATATATAACATTGAGTGTTTACCCAATGCTTGGTGATGTGCCAGTTTATACATATTATTTCATTCAATCCTCTCAAAATTCTATGAGTCTTCATTTTATCAGGAGGGCATTCATATCATGAGAAGTTTCAAGGAATCTGCTAAAAGAGCACGTGTAATAATGGGGGAGGTCAGGATTTGAATCCTGATCTGACTGCAAAGCTCATGCTATTTTTAGTCAGTACATTTAATATTCTTCTAAATTAGCCTCCTTTATCAGTATTCCTATAATGTAAAGGTACAGAATAGGATACATACTCTGGCTGTAGTTTGTTGAGACTATAAGCTCTAATCCTCATATATTTTAACTTTTATTACTATTAGTTTGACATCTATATTGGTTCATATTAGGGCTTAATTTAGAGCCAGGCTTGGTGGCACGGGCCTGTAATCCCAGCTCCTCTCAAGGCTGAAGCAGGAGGATATCTTGAGCCCAGGAGTTCAAGGGCGCAGTGAGCTATGACTGTCCCACTGCACTCCAGCCTGGGTGACAGTGACTCTTTGTCTCTTCAGAAAAATGAACAAAATAAAAAGCTTAATTTAAACATCTTTGTATTCCATATCACCACTATCCATTTTAAGAATGTTCTGCCCAATTTAAACTTTAAAGGTAGAATTCCAATCTCAATAATGGTATACCCACGATTCCAAGTTGGCTTAGCTGAATGCTGTTTTACATCATCTAAAGTTTGAAGAAACATTTTTTTTGTTTGCATCTTTGTTATTATTCCCAATGAAATCATTATGGTTACATTACTGAAGAAATTGTTCTTTTAAATATAACACTGAAATACTCTACCAAAGATTTCCTTCAAGGTCATCATGAATAATTAATGAAATAGTCTTTCAGTGTCAACTGCCTTGTACAAACAAAAATATTCTAAGTCTATGCCTTTCCCTCTGTTTATAAACCATCATTCATCTACAGAGAAGGAACTCTCCCTATATATGCATATCTTTATACTAATAACTTCACTTTTTGTCTTCCAATAAGTATTAAATTCATTTCTCTATAATTAACTCTTAGTGAACCTCTGCTGGCTTATGTGCACAATTTATCACAATTTTAGAATCCATTTCAAAAGAACTCTGGACATTTAAAGTCTCTTTAAGCATCAAAAGATTTTGTTTTAACTTTATTTTGTGATATTAATTTGAATTCAAAGTTGTCCAGTCCTTAATATTTTGTATTAAAGCCAGTAACTTACTATAGAAAAGGTATACCTTAATAAAAAACTAGATATAAAAGCTCTATCTAAACTCTTCAGAATTTGAGACCCCTTATCATCCTAAGGTATTAATAGCTAGAATAAGTGGTAGAGAACTTAGCAAGGTGAAAAATCTTATGAGTTTTGTACCTGAAAATGTCTTGTATAAATAACAGCTTATACTGTGTTCAAGCCATTTTCTTTTTTTGTTGTTCACTAAATATTTAAACTTAGATACCATGAATTTGCTTATCAACTTCTTAGGCTACAAAATAAGGGTCATCACACTTAAACTTTTAAGAGATAGTTAAAATAGCACTATTTTATATAGCAACTAAAACAGAAAGAACAGGCTGATTGAAAATCTAAATTAATACACAGACTTTTTTTAGTAAGCTTTATTAACCAATCATGGATCTAGTCATGTTTTGAGCAGACACTCAGTATAAGTATGATCTAAAAAAATTCCTCCCAGAAAATAGCCTTCAATGCCTGTCACACCTGAGCAGATCCAAACTACTGGGACTAAATAGCCCAGCTGGTCAAAGTTGTTTTTACACATCTAATTAAAAGCTTCAGCCAAAATGGAAATACAGTAAAACTCAAAGTCAGTGTTGTCCTAGTGCCTCAAGTAGTTTATTGGTAGTTATTATCCACATTTCTATAAATATAAACATTCTAAGTGACCATCACTAGGGCAGGTACATTTAACATATGAAACCTCCACAGGAAGCTACTTCATTTTGTTTGTAACAAGAATCAAGGTTCCAAAAACTCAGTTGTGCCACTAAAAAGAAAATAATAATAATAACCAAAACAAACCCTATTAGCAAAGTGCATCTCTTTTGGTGAATTTCAGAACCCATAACTGTTGGTTTTACACATAGAAAATATGTTGATTGATAATATATGATCACTAGAAGTCTCCTCCTGTAGGTTAAGAATTAAATAAAGATCTTTCCTTCTTATAATTTAGAATTTTTACAATTCCAATGTAAACAGCACCAGTGAATTTTCATAAAACAGCTTTGCTACTTTCCCCTTCATTTTCTATAATTGTAATTCTTATCTGCAGTTCTGTACCATTTCTTCCTTCCTATAATCAGGACTGGACAGTTGTGTAACACTATTCAGTTTGTAAACAAAAAATTAAAGCTCAGAACACATATGGGATATCTTTTACATTTTCACTCCACAGCACATCAAGTGTTGTTTATAAAGCTCCTCCCAACACACTACAAAAATATATGAAAAACCAGATTTTCAGCCCACAAATATTAATAGAACAAATATCTTTTAACTGGAATATTTTAGAACTCATAATTACATCCTCTTGACTGTTCATCAATTTCTTTCTTCATAAATCCATATATGTATCCAAGCATATGCATTTATTAGTCTACATGCCCATATTTACTACATAAGACTCAAGTAAATTATTTTAGGTTCTTCAAGTGAAAGTGCTTCTGACAGCAAACTATTTCTATATTGCCCTATATCCCCCCAAAAGTTGCTTTAAACCTATGTAGAAAAATGCATAGCTATTTCTAAAAAGACTACACACCAAAACATGCTTTGTCAGAAAAACTAATCCATGCACTTGAATAAAACCCAAATTATCTTATTTTTATTAAAGTGAGGCCAACTTAATTAAACATCATCTAGAATCAATATACACCATTAAATTATGTGATTCCAGAAAATGTCAAAAATCATTTGGCCAAAACTTAAAACAGCAAACACTTCCTCCTTGTCCCTTACATTAAAAAAGGGCTGGTTGGACCAATATGATCAATATAACCGCATATATATTAATCTACCTTAACATTTCCATTTATTAGCATTTTATCATAACACAAAAAGCCCCATATGCAAACTCATTGCAAAGGCTTCCCCCAAAAAGATATAAGCACAAAACATTAGGCAGACAATCTTCAAAGTTTTATTTCACTAACTTCAGGTCAAATTTCCACAACTGTGTTCTGGTCAATTTACTATCCTTGCTTGGCTTCCCAAAATGGTAGTACCAAAAGATTTGTGGGGCAGGGAAAAGAGACCACTTTAAGAAGCACTGCATTTACTCATCTTCCACAAGGCAACGGAGTTGAGCATTTCACTGTTCAAGAAAACAAAGCTTTAAAAGCATCCAGGAGGGCAGACAGGCAAACCAGGCTATAGACACTCTTCCATTGGTCAAAATCAAATCTGAGAAAACCTAATCCACACAGATATAAAAGGCATGGATGTTCATCTTTTCTTTTTCTGTTGCCGCAACATTTTTCTTCTTTTAATTATCATATCATGTAGTTTCTCAAGTCCTTCCTTTAGTCCATCTCCTATGATTGCACAGGTAGGCTGCAAATGCCAAGGAGTTGATGAACTCAGTTCACCCATTGCTAACAATTTCTCAATTTCTGAGAGAGACAAGGAGTTCCTCAAGTCTTGTTTGTTAGCAACTATAAGTACAGGGACTCCTTGATTTTCTGATATCCTAGTTATTTTATGAAGTTCAGTTTTGGCTTCTTCCATCCTTTCCACATCAACAGAGTCCACAACAAACACAATGCCATCTGTGCATCTTGTATATGACTTCCACAGTGGCCTTAATTTCTCCTGACCACCTACATCCCAGAAGTGAAAAGTGACTGTTTTAGAATTTCCCAAGGTTACCTTAATTTTCTCAGTGTTAAATCCTTTGGTAGGTACAGTATTTACAAATTCATTGAACTGCAGCCTGTATAAGACAGTTGTCTTTCCAGCACAGTCCAAACCCAAAATAACAATGTGGAAGGACTGAAATGAAGGTAGGCTGGACAGGATAGAAGTCTGTTCTGATAGTCCATTCCCCATTTCCAGCTGCAATAATTGTCCCAAATTGAAATGCTTTCTTCTTACTGCTTTAGAACTTCTCTTCCTGGGTGATCCAGCTATAAGACTTAAAGGAGGGAGGAGGGAATGAATAAGTTAATCTCATGAAATACATTAAAACTGGTTTTCTCTAATTCTGCCCTAATAAGCAATACGAGGAATTTAAAACTTGCTTTAGTAAATAAACCAAATAACATATGAAACATACCTAAATTGCGGTAATATGTACTTTACTCCCCTGGGTCCCCGAACCTCACAGACTTCATTCCGGGTACAACCTAGTCACCAGTATCTGGTCTAAATGGGCTTAACCACAGAAGTACCTTCTTTTGGCAGAAAACGAATAACAGATAACCCTATCTTGGGGATCTAATTCCATATGCTTAACAGCATACCCAAGATCACTGTTAGCACCCATCCCCCCAAATAAAAACATCTCACCTCCCGAATTGGAGTCTGGGTCCCAAAGAGAAAGCATTGGCAGGCGTTTCTACGCGGGGCGAATCTCCCCCACGTCCGCCCAGTTTAGCTCTCCGAGCAGCTCTGGCAGTCGGGGCACTAGAAACCTTGGACTCAGACTCTGACCACACCCACTCCTCACGGCCCACCCATGATCCGAAACCCCATTGGTCACCTCCCTCAGGGCAGACAGGCTATTCCCGCCCCCGTGCCCTAATTGGTGAGGGTAACTGCCGCTCCCAGCGTGCCGGAGCAGGGCTCTCCCTCGGTCCACCGGCACCACCTGTTGCCCTTAAGTTAGAAAACAAGGCACTCTCCGAGGGAGCCGAGCGGCCCCTGCAGGGTAAGGGGAGCCTCGGACGGTCAGGTCGCCGCCGGCTCCGCCCGCTCCAGCGCACCTGCAGCGCGGCCGACGGGCGCGGAGCCGCGACTCCCACATCCGGGGCCCGCAGTCACCACTAGCGTATTAACCCTTTGTCCACTAGCCGGCGGGTGTCTGCCGTGGGCGCGCCGGCCCCTCAGGCGGGAAAGATCCAACCTGCGGGCCCCGCCAGGGCAGGCCCACCCTCCCCGCAGCAGGATCCCGTCACCTCGCCCCTCCGAACCCCGCCAGCTCTTCTCCCCCGGCAGGGCGTGGCCACCCCAGCCTCCAGCCCCATTGCGGCTCACCTGACAAACCGTCCTTCCCTCGTCCGGGCTCAACGTCTCCCTCAGCCGCTTGGGAGGCGCGCTGATACCTGTCCGTGGGCACCAGCGAGGCCTGGGCGGTGAAAGCGGACGAGACGCCGCTCCCAGGGGCGCCGGGCGCCGGGCGTGAGCCAGGCTGCCCTAACGGTGCTCGCCCGGCAGCTCCCCGCGCCGGCCGCGGCCCCGCCCCCTTCGCGCGCGTCGCCAGGGCGCCGACCAGTGGGGGGCGCGCAGGAGCCGGGTCTCCTAGCAACGCCAAAACAGGGTCACGTTCGAACCCGCCTGGCTCTGCCTGCTTGCGAGGTCGGGTGGGGTTTCCGGCCTCCGCCGGGAAGCGGTTGCTCTCGGGAGTGCCTTTTGCCGCTCCCGGCGAGCTTCGGGGAGGCGCCGCCCTGCACCGCCTTTCCTCAGGACACCGTAGGGCTTCCTCGGGGCAGTGGCCACGTGACGCAAGGTCAGGGATTCCAGAGGACACTGGACCGGCAGTCCTCTTTCCCCTTTATGTAACGAGGTGGCGTGGAGGTACCTCAGAAGTTGCTCTGAGCAGCCCGGGCCGGCTGGACTAGTAACGCACGTTCCTTTTGTAAAGCAAAGGAACTCTGCCTCCTATGTGACTCTAGCAACGTCTCTTGGAGCTGGCGACTGGTAGAAATATCCCAGTATTTCCACAGATAAGGAGATACACTCTGAAAGATTAAGTGGATGTTTCTAAATGATCCCGCGAAAATTAGTGGTGGTCCTGGAACTGACAATGTAAGACGGCTAGTCATTAAATGCCTAATACTTTCCATTGGATGATTCTAAGTGTGATTTTGTCTTGATCCATAAATTGGCAAATATTTATTGAACACCTACTAGGCAGGAGGCACAATTCTGTGTGCTTGGTGATAGAATGGTGGGTGAGCAAAACACCATCTCTGCTCTCATGGAGTATTGGGGTCTTTATAGGAGAAAAGAAAGTAACCAGATTGCCACATGAATAGATTTATAAAATGTGATCAGTGATAATTTAAGGGTGCTTATGACAACACAGAAGAAGAGTACTGACTTAGAGTTTTGAGAAAACGTCAATGAGCAAACGTCTTTTTGGTGGAGGCTGTAAGAGATTGTAACTTGGAAGAATCTATATGGTGCACTTTTTTTTAAAATGTGCTTTTTTTTCTTTTTAAATATGGATTGGAGTTTCCTCAAGATATATTCTGATTTTTCTCAAGATCACTATTGCCAGTGATACTTGTGTTGGTTATGACTAGCTTAAGAATGCAAGGACTTGTACTGGATGTTTAAAATAGCTGACAAAACCTAAAGAGTAAACACAATGCATAGTTTCAAGACAGTGAAACAAATTTTGAGTAAGAGCTAGAAATCTCAAATGGCATATTAAGTTATTTATTAAATCTAGTACTCTTAGATGTTGAGGGATTCTGGGTCTCCTAGGGACCATTCTGGGTGCCACCCCACTTTAATCCTGTCCTCAGTGACTGTCATACCTGGGGAAGGATGGAATACCCTACCAATCTGTCGGTCAGAACTTAAGACTGCCAACTGCAAAAAAATGCAGAGGACCCTCTAGCCCATGAGCCAAGCAATATATGTATGACAGAGTCTGGAAAGTGACCTAGAACAACCAGCTTTCAGAGAGGTTCATGGGAGATCAGCATGCATCCTAAGACTCAGGTCATATAACTGCCAACTGTCCAATCAAAGTGACTCCATGGTGCGGGAGGTCCTAATCCTGACACTATAAAATAAGACCCAGACCATAATCAAGTTTTTCCTTTGCTGCAACACTTTGCTGCAGCAGGGGTCTAGTCATTGTCTGTGGCATATGTGTCTCGCTCTGTAAGCCAATGTCTTGCTTTTGCTCTCTAATCCTATCTTTCTCTCCTCAATAAACCTAATTTTCATGCTTGCCTTATTATGGTGTGTGTCTGGTTATTCTTCAGCCATGAACGCGCCAGGAACCAACATTTCAGACTCTAAAACCCAGTAGTATAAACTAAGAATTGCCTTAGTTATGATTGTGGAATCTTATTAGCCATTTATAGTAATCAGCGTAAGTGATAAAGGGTTTAGTACAATAACTAATCTCCTTTTCTTGGAAATTTTACAGGGATTCTTTACTAAACTGGAATTATTTGCAAATTCTCTTTAAATCAATAGTTTAGAATAAGAAAATTTCATGGCAGCCCTCTATTTACAATAACTTTGAAATCAAGTAGGCTCTTCCTGTATTCTTTGAAAAGGTGCATTTCTACACAATCTTCCCTGGAGCAAAAAGGAAAAAAAAAAAAACATTGAGCTCTTTCAATCTTGAAGAATCACTGACTTGCACTTTAATGTTACACCCTAGGTTTTTTAACTACAGTAGTGGTTCGCAAACTACAGCCTGTGGGTCAAATTCAGGAGATATGAATTTTTATTTTTATTTATTTTTTTGAGACAGAGTCTCACTTGGTTGCCCAGAGTAAAGTGCAGTGGCCTGGTCACAGCTCACCCCAAACTCAAACACCTCACCTCAAAGGATCTTCCCACCTCAGCCTCCTGGAGTGCTAGGATCACAGGCATGAGCCACCATGCCTGGCTAAGAATGGTTTTTATGTGTTTAAAGGACTACAAGAGAATGGATAAGAAAGTATGCAATAGAAACTATCTGTGCCCCACAGAGATTAAAATATTAGTTCTCTGCCTGTATAGAAAAATGATTGCCTGTCCTATAAATAAAACTATATGAAAACAGCAACAAATGATATAAAAAGTGATGAAATTTATGGAACACATCCACTTGGTTGCACAGTCTTTCTATAGAAGGCCCATTGAGATATTTTATTTACATACTATGCCAGGCAGGAAAAGGTTCCCTTTAGACTGTAGCTCATAAACTGTGTGCTGCAGTGCCCTGGGGTGCCTCTGGGAATTCCTAGGGGTTCTGTGGAATAGTTTAACTTTTTGAGGAAAACACATCTGTTGAACCATTTTAACGACTATAGCTGTTAAGTTGTTTGGCCCTATCTACTTAATAAATGGAACGTTTGAGTATTTCTTTTGGCATGAGGCACCATGAAAAAATTACTGAGACATGAGACGTTCTGTGAACCTCTGCCTTTAGTTATAATTTTCCAAACTTGGCTAATAATGAGAATAACCTGGTAGTGCTTGTAAATCTATAGATTCCTGGTTCCTATTCCAAACCTCCCAAATCAGAATCATCAAAAGAAGGGATGGTGATTTACATTTTAAATAAGTAGTCCAGATAATTAATAATTAGACATTTAGAGGAATACCAGTCATAAGAAAAGGGTTTCTCCTTTCAAATAACTATTAATACAAATGAGTAATTTCTCCTGTTTCCCTTTTTGAATTAAATGCCAGAATCAAATCTGGTGCCTGTAGCATTCTTTCTCTCTTCTATAATCTGATTTTTTATGATGTATATAAGTTAAGCATGCACATACTGAAATTAATGTGTCCTTTCTGACCTTTACCACTCTACATATATATGGTTACATGTTTGTATTTTTTTTTTTGAGCATACTTCATTTGTTTAATGCATATTTATTAGAATTTTCCATGTTGAAGGTCTGGGTAAGCAGAAGACATGATCTCTGGCTGAAGGAACTAGTCCAGTGGAGGTGATAGACACATAGACACAGCACACAATTCCTTTGATATTCAATAGGGCTTCTGAATAGTAAAATGAAAGATATTATACCATAATTCTAGAACTCTGGGAGGCCCAGGCAGGAGGATGTTTGAGGTCCTCAGTTCAAGACCAGCCTGAGCAAGAGTGAGACCCTGTCTCTACCAAAAATAAAATAATTAGCCAGACATGGTGGTGTCTGCTGTAGTTGTAGCTACTTCAGATGTGGAGGCAGAAGGATCACTTGAACCCAGGAGTTTGAGGTTGCAGTGAGCTATGATGACACCATTGTACTCTACTCTGGGGCAACAGAGTGAGGCTCTGTCTCACAAAAAAAAAAAGTTATTATCAAGTCCTATGCTTGTACAGACTGACAAATTCAGGATAGCTTAACAGAAATAACATTTTTGAGCGGGATATTAAGAAAACTCATGACCAGACATGGGGTGGGAAAACAGAATTGCAGGCAGAATCGAAAGTATGCAAAACATGGAGACACAAAATTATGGGATATTCAAGCAAATCCAAAAGAGGAGATTCTAATTTCCCATGAAAGAAAGGATGTTCTAGAAAAAGGATATTTTCCTGAGCCCCAAATAATAGAAGAAAATTGGACACATTTTGTGTTTCTGAAGAATTATATCAATATCATTAATACTCATGGAATTTATTTATGCTTCAGGACCCTATAGTCAGAAAATTTTATTGAGCTAGGCTCCATTTCCAACTGCCTCCTGAATTCTTGGGCCTAATACCTGTAAGGGCTAAGGGAACACTTGTCCTTTCAACCTCTGAAGTTTCAATGAAAAGTCATCTCACAAAAAGCAGTTTAGTTGGAGAAAAGACATATTTCATTAACGTGCATACGGGGTTGGGGGCAGAACCACAGAGTGATTACCCCAACCTTTTAATGGAATGCAGAAGTTTATATAACATCTTGATGTTACAGAGAGCATGGGGGCTCAGAGCATGGCTCAAAACAGTTTATGGTGGTAAATCAGGTTATAGTGGCAAGACAGGTAGGTCATAGGAGAGGAAGAAGAGAAGGCCTGGCCAGCAAAGCTCATCTTGTCATGTAAATGGACTCTCCCAGG